GATGCTGAACAACAGCTCGACCTGGAGCTGGGCTGCCGTGGGTCGCCGGCGATGGCATAGGCTGCAGCCCCTGCTGCAGTGGGTTGCCATGGGATACCATGTTTAGCCAGCAGCCAGCGTGAGCAGCCATCAGCCACAGTGAGCAGCTGGCCAGAAGCCGGCGACTGATCTGCCTCGCCTGGGAAGCACAATGGTGGTGCCAACTTGGGCCAGTGAAGCAACGTCCTCCACAACTAGACTGATGATCAAAACGACAGCAACTTGTCTGTTCCCCTTCCCCCAGTTCCCCAGCGCTGTTCCCATCCCCCAATTCCCCAATAAAAATCTTAAAAACAAAACAAAACAACAAACAAACAATAAAACACAGATGTGGATTGCTGTAGAGAAAGCCCCAGCTTTAGAGTCAGGCCGACCTGGCTTGAAGTTTCACTTCTGAGAGGTTCAGTGTTCCCATCCATCAAATGGGCTGAGGGCAGGATTGAGATCTCATACACAGGGTGCCCAGTAGGGACCCATGAACAATTCCCCAGCACTGTTCCCATCCTCAATTCCCCAATAAAAATCTTTAAAAAAAATGCCAGAACAGAATAGAGACCCCAGAATTAAACACATGCCTGTATGGTCGATTAACCTACGACAAAGGAGGCAAGAATATAAAATGGGGTAAAGACAGTCTCTTCAATAAACGGTGCTGGGAACACTGGACAGAGACATGCCAAAGAATGGAAGTGGGTCACTTTCTGTCATAGTTTCATTTATAAAATTTGTAAAGGATATTATTCACATAATGGTGACTTCATTTGTTTTATGGCTCTCAAATAATTTTTCAATTGTGACAGACAGGATTGGCTCTTCCATCTCAGAAGTTTGCTGACCCCTGGCCTAGGGGAACCCCTGATCTCTTGTGGCATTCCGTTACCACTACTGACAACACACTACAACTGTCTCCTCGGTGGGAATGGAGAATTTCAGGACCCTCAGAGAAGGACTTTGTGGCTGCGAATCACTGGAGCTGAAGAGGCAGACAGTGCTCTCTGATAGGTGTCAGAAACTGAAACCCACAATAAAAGTGCTTACTTTTTCTTCCAGACAATCCGTCAAGGACAGGATTCCTTTATAATCTGTTGTCAGCAGCCTTGATGCTCAAGGATGGGTACCTGGCCGGCGATTCTTGCTTCATTTTTTGTTTCTGAAAGAGAAACCACAGGGATCACTGTAGATTTCTACCGGGAGCTTCATGGACACACGAAACGCATAGTCCACACTTGTCTACAAAAAGGAACTCCCGCGTTTACTTACTAATGCTGCCAGCACATTTTATTACAACCATCTGATATGCACCTTTCATTCACACTTGCTTACAAAATAACGAACACAGGTAGATGACCCTCAGAAGTCTGCCTTAGACCTGAACCTGCTTCTCAAAATTTTCCACGAACCATGCAAGCTCCTCGCATGTCAATAACTGAAAGGAACCACTTTTTGAAGGAATTTCCGGCAAGAATCTGACCAACGCAGACACTCGTTTTTCTCAATGTGCCTCCCTCTAAACAGGCCTTCTGTACATCTGTGTGCCTGAATTAACTGGCAACAGTCCTCAGTATTACAGACCCCTGGAATGCGCGTGAAAGAATGTTCTAGAATCACTGCACAGAGAATAACCAAGTGAATGTGCGCAAATGATGTAATTCCCCACTTTAACCACTGCGCTATGAGGCACTAATTACCAATACACATACAAGAAAAATTCAACTTAAGACTTCCGGTACAGTCTGCAGATGACGTAAACGTGGTACTCGCTTCTGCCCATGACATGACAGTTACAACCACACTATCGAACCACCACTAACGAGAGCCACTGTTTCTTCCTACGGAGTATTCCACCATCCACAGCCCACGGTTTAGAGACACCAGGGAATTTGCACAGCCATTAAATTAGTATATTTGAAACCAATATTCCCGATGCCTGGAACATGGGCGGATCTTACGACTGTACCATGAATAACTGAGGAACAAGTGAGCTGAGGGCAGCTGAGCAGGTTGAGGCAGGACCATCACAGCACAGGTGCCACCTCACCTCTGACCTGGCCTCCCCGGCTGATCCTACACTGCGTCAAGACGGCACCTGCCGCGTAGTTGGGCCCTGCCCCGGGGGGGCTGGTGGGGGCTCACATGTCTATTGTTGGTATACACACACCAGCAGAAGGCCACAGAGGACGGGCTGCTTGCCCACTCCTCCTCCACATCACCAGTCAAGTTCATCAGACAGTAACTACACATCAGACCCGAATCAGAGAAACGACCAGACCCAGCCAAGTAACTACAGCCCTGAGAAGCCTCTGAAAGCACGTTGGGATATGACGGATGGAACGTGCACGTAAAAATAAATTGGAAGGTATTCCCTTCTAGTATCTATGATTCCTTGATCTTCCAACAGACATTTTAATACACATTTAAATTATTTACAGTAATCCCCAACGGCATGTTAACAGTGCATGCGGGAGAGGGAAAGGAGTCGAAAATCTCTGTTTCACTGTGACAGGGCCGATGAACCATGAACAATGGTTGCCTGCCTCGTTTGTAATTATTCACGGTGAAGGTGTTCATTGAGTTGCGGAAACATGGGTCCCAGTGATTCCACAAGCATGAGAGGTACTGGCTACAGTTTCGCCGGAGGACACGCTGTAGAGCCCACAGAGTTTGGGACGGACTACAGAGAAGCAGGCTGGAGGGTGACAAGTGGCCCTGCCAGCTAAGTCAATGCCTGGTCCCAGAGACACAAAAAGACATTTGGGCTCAAGTCCTTACGCACACAGATGGAGGCCGGTGTGGATCAAGTCAGGAGACAGTGTCTGACCAGACCTGCGCCCCCATGCTAACTCGAACCAGACACGGACATGTACATCTCCCAGCCTCGGAGAATATCTGTGGTAATATTCATGTTGTTCTCCAGATAGCTTCCATGCTAGTCCAGCTACTTCTTGGTTTTTTATTTACCTTCCATCCTAAGCTGTATCTTCTCTCTGGAACTCTCTTTTCATAAACCCGTCTCCTATTTACAGTTTGATTTTCTGTGTTCTCTTAGAATTTGGGGGAACATATCTGTACTCTAGATCCTTATACAAACGCCCCTAGCTTCAGCCTCTTAGGATGAAATGGCCAGAGCACCCTGGGGAAGGCAATTCAAGAAGACACAGAAATCACTGCCTCTCTGCTATGGGTCACCTGAGAATCGCTTGTTTCCCTGCAGACTCACGAGTTAGAAGCCTGGGGACTGTATCGCACAACAATTCGGGGTGATTTTAATATTCCACTGGGGCTAAAAACCACAGCTGTAAATAATCAGGGATATGACTTTGGATGAGTTAAGATGAAAAGACTAATCGGCTGTATTGATCCATACAGATTGAATTAATTGAAAATTGAGATTCAGTCCAAAATCATTGATCGAGCATTGCTCGCTCGTGCATCCAGTCTTTCTGGAAGCCAGCCTTGAATCTGCTGCATTTCAGATTTCTGGGCCCGAACATCTTCGGGCTGAAACCAACCACTCTGGGGTTTATGCCACCTGAAAGCTCTCCTTGATGCTGAGAGGATAGAAAATGGGTGAGGGGGTGGGCAGGGGTGTGCGTGTGAGTATATGAGTGTGTGTATCAGGGAAAGGTGCTCTACATAAAGAAAGCGCGATTGCACCATCCAGATGAAACAAGGGGCATTGATATTATCGCCTATTTGAGGTGTTTTAATGTATGGTGATGAAGTCTGTCATCAAGTGGCCATAATTTTGTGACCCAATTAATAAAGCATTTCTTTTAACATAGGTGGACATGGATATGGTGGTGACAGACAGAGGTGGATGGTCCTTTGTCACAAATGTGACACTTGACTCCAAACAGATGTGATAAGATCCCGTTGTGACACAATACAACTTCCACAATAAGCAAAAGGCAACGACGACAGCAGGGGTCTGAGGGACAGCCTCCCTGAGGACCTGCGCACGGATGACGGCACGCGAGGAAGACGGAAGTGGAGCCAAAACCACACACACACACACACACACACACGGGATGGACGCGGCGGAAGCCCAGGTCTGAGGATCCCAGGACACCTCCTGTGTCACTCTGGCCTCAGCCCAGTGATTGAAAATGTGAGGCCAGCGCACTTTCACTCTGTTTCATAGCCCGACAAAGCACGTGTGGCCACTCCCTGCTTCCTCTCAAATGTGTTTATCATGCCTGCTAGTTACCAGACCTACATAATGGGAGAAGTCTGTACTCTAGGAGGGCAGATATACAGAGGGTACAAACAAACGTATACACATTTTAAGAAAGGAAAAACACTGTATTAATTGTAATACTCAGTAGATACCAATAACAAAAGATGAAGACAAGTCATGTGCATACATTTCTTTGGCAACCCTGGTATATATACACAGAAGAGTTCACGCACAGCCAAGCCCTTAGAGAATGAGTCTCCCTACATATAAAACCCGAGTGACACACAGCTACTAACTACTGTATGTGGAAGAGTGGAGGCCACCGTAGTCCTAAGACATGAAGAAAGCATGGCTTTGGCTCTTCAGAAGTTTATAAACCAGTGTCAGGGACACATGGCTCTTACATAGAACTAATAGGATGGAAGGTTCAATCAATAAGCTACAAAGAACTTTACGCAGGGAAAAACACAAAACTATAGGGCCAGTTTAATTTAAATAATACAATTAGGAGAAGTTTCACAAGGTGACTGTTTTTGTGTGGACTTTGGAGGAAGGCCACAGAGAGTGCCAATAAGTAGTAGGGACGGGGAGAGACCTGGAAAGTCTGGAGGGGGTTATTCATTTGCTCATCACAATAAGTACTTACTGAGAACTTTCTGTGTCCGCTAAAGTGTGAGCTGCAGAAAAGGAAGGACAACTACAGAGCTGAGGAGCCACATGGAAACTCACGGACAAAAAATCAGCTCAGGGGACGCCCAAGTGGCACATTGGTTAGGAGTTGGCTTGGAACACCAGCTCTGAGCAGCAGGGCCCCAGTTTGGATCCCACATGGAGGCCAGTGACACTGTGCCCTCTACAGCTAAGATGGTGAACAACAGCTCGACCTGGAGCTGGGCTGCCGCAAGTTGCCAGGAGCGGCCATCCAATGGCCGGCAAGTGACTGCCTCAGCCAGGAAGAGCTCAATGATAATACCAACATGGGCCAGTGAAGCGACGTCCTCCACAACTAGACTGAACAACAAAAGGACAGCAACTTGTCTGTTCCCCTTCTCCCAATAAAAATCTTAAAAAAAAAAAAGCAGCTCAGGAATTGGTGAAAAGAAAGGTACAAGAGGAGATAGCTGATAAAATAAGATGGGTGCAGTCAGAACAAGAGCAAGTGGAAATGGTATCTTGTTTCTATAAGTGTATGATTTTGTTGTAAATCTCTACAGAGGTGTCTGTTTTCATTATTATAATCAATACTCCAAAATCCGATGTGCTTACACATTTTGAATTCATGCATCGGCAAGGCTTTTTGAGCAGGGAAATGACGTTCTGAATACTTTTCTCAGGAAGAAAAAAAATATGTTCTGTACACACAGTGACCACCACTGTTTGTGTAGTAAGGGGCACACACTCGCATTATGTAAGATCATCCCACCCGTCCTAAGGAGGTCCTTCTGAGATGGCTTTGGGGACATACACACAGTATGCTGAGGGCAGGCTCTGGCTACTGCACTTGAAGAGGTGGGTGCCTAAAGGGATGGGAGTTAACCTTCTTTCCACTACAAGAATCAGATATTCAACGTGCAGACAACAGGGCATTGAGAAGACAAGGAGTTAGCGATTTAGACAAAACACCAAGGTCATCCCTTGGAGTGTAGTACAGTGATACCTTGGTTTGAGAGCATAATTCGTTCCGGAGACAAACTACGCGTATTGCAAGACATTGCTCATTTACCACGTTAAAATGCATTACAAACGTTTGCTCGTTTTGCGGAACACTCGCAAAACAAGTTACTCACAATCCAAGGTTTCACTGTATTAATATTTCCTTTCCCAAACACAGTATTGAAGGCCAGCCATCCCTTCTTGCCTTCGTTTCCTTCCAAAGGCAGGCTGTAAGAATTAGTCTGTGTGTCAGAATTTCACTCACTTCCCACCCATGGATCAGAGACAATGTAAGCACATTTAGCTAAAGG